ATAATAATAATAATAATAATAATAATAATAATAATAATAATAATAATAATAATAATAGTAATAATAATAAAAACTTTCCAACTATATTTTCTTCATCATTAACTCGACTCATTTTTCCTATCTGTACTTAATCATTTATATATTTCCTAACATCAGTGTATCAGTATTATAAAAACACCTGTATATTATTAATAATACTTTATCTCAGTTGTAAAGTCGAACAAGTAATGACAAGATGGATCAGTTTATTCTAATTTACATTCATTTCGAATCGCCTGTAGATTGAAGGTCGTAATTTATTTCCCATGAATATTAACCACCCTAGCGCCAAATTTGGGGGTTATTTTTGCTTAGGTTGGGTTAGGTGAGGTTAGGTTAGGGTAGGCTAGGTTAGGTTAGGATAGTTTGAGGTAGGTTAGGTTACGTTACGTTACGTTAATTGAGTGTCGGTTAGTTTAGTTTAAGGTAGCTTAGGTGTGGTTAGGTTTGGTTAGGTTAGGTTAGGTTAGTTTAGTTTAATGTAGGTTAGGTTAGTTAAGGTTAGGTTAGTTTAGTTTAAGGTAATTTAGGTTTGGTTAGGTTAGGTTAGGTTAGGTTAGGATAGGTTAGGTTGCGTTAGTTTAGTTTAAGGTAGGTTTGGCTACGTTAGGTTACGTTTGGTTAGGTTAGGTTAGGTTAGTTTAGTTTAAGGTAGGTTAGGTTAGGTAAGGTTAGGTTAAGCTGGGTTAGTTTAGTTTAAGGTAGGTATGGCTACGTTAGGTTAGGTTAGCGTTCGGGTGTATAATCTTGAAATGATCCATTAACTCTTGTCAGTTTTGTTTTGTATTTCTAAATGATCACTTTTTCGTGAATCTCCAAGAAGAACCTTTAACCCCTTGGGTGCGATACAAACCCCCATTACTGTAGTTAATTTACCTGTTAACCTATTGGGTACGATGACTTCAACCCTTGAGTACGGTGACATTGTACTCAAGAGTATTATGTCATCTTGCTTGTTGGATTATGAGTCACCACATGACCGATAAGTCGCTCATATAAAACAACGCGTCAGAACCATCTATCATTTTCTATATGTAGTGTTGATTCAAGGCGATTTTCTTCTATTTGTAAATATATCTGCTGCAGTAAACGAAATAGTCCTGTGCGAGTATTCGTGATAGGGATAAGTTTATAATGCGTCCCCAACAGCCGCCAGTACCAACTCAAACACAATATTAATTTCGAAGGTGAAGTAATTGATTACATAAGTTATGGTCGACTTCCTCTTTTTTGTCTCCCAAAATAAAAGAGCGAATAAAAAAATAAAAAATAATAATGTAACAAATGTACTGAACACAAGTGTCTACTAAGTACCAGACAAAATAACCGTGATGAAGGCTTGGAAGAGGTTTCTTCCTTAATTGTTTCACAACACGTGTGTGTTTAGGAAATTTATATAATGAAGACATAAACATGAGATGCTATTCGAGACAGCAATAGATGTGTTCATCTCTCCTTCACCTCAAAATAAACTTTACAGTAACTGTCTTTCTTCCTTTTAGGATTCATCCCCATGTAGTGGGTGACCAACATCAGTACACATTATTCTATTTCCCAGTGTTTATCTAATTTTGTCTTAAATAACAATTTCTTTAATGACTTAGAACCGTCGATATTTTAAATAATATATATATATATATATATATATATATATATATATATATATATATATATATATATATATATATATATATATATATATATATATATATATATATATATATATATATATATATATATATATAGCTGGATGATCGTCATACTTGATTCCGAATCACATCAAAATAGTTATAGTAGTAGTAGTGAGTGTGTGTGTGTGTGTAATAATAATAATAATAATAATAATAATAATAATAATTAACGGTTTATTGAAAGAGCTTGGCAGCCAGAAGGCTGAAAATATACAGTTACATATTTGGGGAATGGGTTACGAATTACAAATAATATACAAGTGACATAAGTGACACAAATAAGACATATAGTAACTTAGATGGGGATCAGCTCAAACTACAGTTCATTTCAACATAGTGACAGTGTAGGGAGCAGTGTTTACTGGGAGTGAATACACTGATTTATTACATGTTATTGATGATTTTTACAATGGTTGGGACTGGGCTGTTCTTATAGCGATCAGTTCGTGCACGTATGGGCTGGATGCGGTTGTGGTGTCGAACAGCAATTCTCGGACAGGGGATGTCAGGTGGTAGTAGGGGCCGGTGTCGGGGATGGTGTAGAAGCTTCTTACCAAATTTGCAGATGAGGCCGTGGTGATGGTCAGTGAGAGTCGAAAGGGTCAGTGTGTTGAGCGCTTCTTGATATGTGGTGTAGGAAGGGGAGAGAATAATCTTGCATGCCCTCTTTTGCACTTTTTCTAGGTGTTTACGTTGTGTGGCATTTAGAGAGGAAGACCAGGTGGGGGAGGCATAGGTGAGCTTGGGAAGTATGAATGTTGTGTATACACTGAGGAGCTCGTGTGCGGGAACTCCGAGGGACTTGAGTCGGCGGAGGAGGTGGAGACGGAAACTGGAGGATTTGACAACTTCACTGACGTGTGGTTTCCAATTTAGTTTGTTGTCTATGGTGACGCCGAGGAGCTTCGTGGAATCTACAACCTGGAGTGTGTTCGGACCTAGGGTAATGGAGGGAGGTGGGACAATGTCGGAGGAGAGGTTGATGTGCATAACCATGGTCTTGGTATGGTTGATGGTGACATGGTTGTTGGTGGCCCAGTGTGTGTGTGTGTGTGTGTGTGTGTGTGTGTGTGATTGCGTGTGTGTGTGTGTGCGTGTATATAAAGACAAGAATAATCATCATATAAATATGTCCAAGTTTATATTTATATATTTTTCCGTTAACCTGTGGACACACTACTCACATATACACCGGACCTTAGTGTTTCTTCCTCGTGCTATAAGTGTTGCATATCAACACACATCAGGCTGGCTCATTTATCATTTTTCTTAGTACTCCGTCCTTCATTTATCATGATATTAACGTTTTCAACTTCCTTGTGAAGCTATGTTGGTGGTCACGTGACCTTCAGCCCGCTGGTCCAGCATATATAAAGACGGATTACAGTCTTATCATCAGTATCCTCCACAACACCAACCATGGTAAGGCACCAGTGTGTGTGTGTGTGTGTGTAATGGTCAGCATGCTCGCCTCGCAAGTGAACGGACCCGGCTTCGATCCCCGGGCAGTGTGAAACTATGTGCAAGTTTTGCCTTTGTCTTCACAATAGCAATTAGGAACCTGGCTGTTAATCGATTTACGGATCGTGTTCAGGGGTATCGGTTAGCCATTGCAGTTGGTGAGTTGTCCGGTCTTCTCGGACTATTCCTTGACACTGGGTCATGCAACTCGTTAATTCAGGGTGTGGTTGACGACTGCTTCTACACTTTAAACAAATTCATACATAGGTGGCCCTTAGGCCCGTTATTCTCGTTACACGTGGGACAACCATTATGTATATATATATATATATATATATATATATATATATATATATATATATATATATATATATATATATATATATATATATATATATATATATACAATCATCACCTCAACCCGCCAGGATTCGAACCCACGGCCCACAAGCCTATGACAGTCATAGGCTTGTGGGCCGTGGGTTCTAATCCTGGCGGGTTGAGGTGTTGATTGTATGTAGAAGTCCGCGTGCTTTATTGGGCGAATGAAATATATTTATATATATATATATATATATATATATATATATATATATATATATATATATATATATATATATATATATATATATATATATATATACAGAAGTACTTGGTTATCACGTGAGAAATGTAATACCTTACGATACTTACAAATATCACTTACTGTTGACCGCTAACTCAAAAGTCAACATACACACAAAAATCCACGAAATTAGAAAATTCTCATTATGAACACAACTCTTTCTCTTCTGAAGCTGATCACAATTTCACAGTTATTCTGAAACTTATTTTTGTTAAACAGAAAAAGTGAGGAGGAAGTGAAACTCAGACACTGATGAGAGTTTGTGTAGAAGATGTCTCGAGGCAAACATCTTCCATTATCCATAAATCTGGCACTTTCTTACTTTTACAGAGATACCAGGTGGCCTTCCTTCTTGTTCTCCTAGCGGGGATGACTTCGTCCGCCTGCCACGGCAGCCACTGTGGAGGTGGATTCTCAGTGGCACATGGCGGAGGATCTTCAGTTGGACATGGGGTAGGATCTTCTGGAGGATATGGTGGAGGATCTTCAGTAGGCCATGGCGTAGGATCTTCAGTAGGCCATGGCGTAGGATCTTCAGTAGGCCATGGCGTAGGATCTTCTGTAGGATATGGCGTAGGATCCTCTGGAGGGTATGGAGGAGGATCTTCTATTGTCAATGGTGGAGGATCCTTAGGTGAACATGGTGGAGGATCCTCTATTGTCCTTAGCGAAGGAACTTTGGGAGGATATGGTAGAGGATCTTTCATAATCCGTGGCGCAGGACGTTCTGGTGGATTTGGCGGAGGATCATTTAGTAACTCAGTCTACGGCGGAGGATCAGGATTCAACGGAGGATCACTGGGAGGCTTCTCAGGAGACTTCAACTCGGGAGTAGCTGGAGGCTTCGTCGGGGCCTTGGGTGATGGATACGGGTCTTCAGGCAACACCTTCGGGGGCCACGATGGTTTCTTCGGCGATGGCTATTCTGGGGGTGGCTTTGACAGCCAGTCAGGAGGCTTCACATCTGGCGGTGGCTTCACATCTGGCGGTGGCTTCACATCGGATGGAGGCTTCAATTCAGGCGGAGGCTTCTCTTCAGGAGGAGGCTCCAGCAGTTACTTCAATGAACCGACTGGCAATAGCTTAACAGGAACCATCAGCCAAAGCTACTTACCTCCTCACAGAAAGTAAACACTGACCTTCAGGCTGCTATCACACATTATACCCAACAAGGAAAACTTCAAAATACCCTATATATAAAGAGTAGTTAATAAACACTGACCTTTAATTAAGGTTTTTGAACGATTTTTTTCCTTCAAGACTTGTATCTATGTGCAGATGGCAATAAATTATGATTATCTTTACTAGTAATGTTCTTATTTACTTCCTCACACGAACGGAGACTATTTATTGATGTATATAAAGTACATTCAGATGTTCCTCAGAACTATGTTCCTCTCTCTCTCTCTCTCTCTCTCTCTCTCTCTCTCTCTCTCTATATATATATATATATATATATATATATATATATATATATATATATATATATATATATATATATATATATATATATATATATATATATATATATATATATCACTCTTACACACACACACACACACACACACACACACACACAAAGTATAATAAAGCTTACTATGTATACTTAAAACCTTAAGCAGTTTGTAATTGCGAATAATGTAAAATAATCAGCGTATTTATCAGCTTACATCAATATTATTCACAACACAATATAGTCTCAATAACACAACAATAATGATGCAACTGTATACAGGTTGGATGTGGGTAAGGTGCCTGGACCGGACGGAATACCCCCTCCTGTTCTGAAGGAGTGTGCTGAAGCTCTAGCCCCTGTGCTTGCTTGCCTCTTTCGCCTTTGTCTCAAAACCCAAACTTTTTCTTCTTCTTGGAAGCATGCCTCGGTTCAGCCCATTCCGAAATAGGGTGACCATTCCAATCCCCCTAACGATCGTCCCATTGACCTAACTTCATCCCTCTCTAAGATTTTCGTTAAACTCTCATTTTCCCCGTCACCCTAAACGCCAGGCGTGATCTACTGGTGATCTACTCTCCTACTGCACCCATCTTTGGTCATCCTTTCTTAGGGATTATGGGGAAACTTTCGTCGTGGCCCTGGACATCTCCAAAGCATTTGACAGGGTATGGCACAAGTCTTTGTTTTCTAAACTTCCCTCTTATGGTTTCTCTCCCTCACTTTGTTCTCTAATTTCTAGCTTCCTTGAGAACCGATCCATGGCAGTTGTTGCCGAGGGATCGATCTCTCGCTCTTTCTTTACCAATACAGGTGTCCCACAGGGTTCTGTTCTTTCACCTACTCTCTTCCTTCTTTTTATCAATGATTTACTTCACACTACGACTAATTCTATTCATTCTTACACTGATAATTCTAATCTTCAATCTTCTTCACATTCTTTCCTTCCCCATAATTCTCAAAGTAGATCTGTTTCTAGAGTTAATATTGTTTCATCTATCAAGGCGAATCTGTGCAACATCTCCGAATGGGGAGGTAGAAACGTGGTTAAATTCAATAGTAATAAAATACAGTATTTTCCAATTATATAAATCCATATTAGATGATCTCCCACCAATCACATTTCAGGACAATCATTCTGCCAAATTCTAAAACAGATATGCAAGGCCTCACCATTTCCTCTAATATATCATGGCAGCCACACATCCACAACAATGCTAAAGCTGCCTCCCGAAAGCTGGGAATGGTGTACAGATGCCGTAGCTACTTCACTCCTGAGCAATTGCTTCAAGTTTATAAGGGATTCATTCGTCCTAACATGGAGTACTGCTCTCATATCTGGGGTGGCTCTTATTCTGTCCAACTGTTAGATAAGATGGAATGAAAGACACTTCGTCTCATTAACTCTACTCCTCTAGTTGATAATCTCTCTCCCTTTTCTCTCCGCCTCAACTTTGCTTCACTCTCTCTCTTTTACAGATACTTTAACTGGCAATGTTCGGTGGATTTGGCATCCTGCGTACCGCCGGCAAGGCCTTGGACTCGTAACACACTTCTTGCCCGCCCGTGGTGCTCACCGTTTCTGTGTACAGTAGATGTCGGTCACACTAGAATAACCCGTTATAGTACATCCTTCTTTCCTCACACAGCCAAACTGTGAAATGCTATGCCTTCTATGTTTCCATACTCATACAATGTGTCTCACTTCATAAAGTTGGTTTTCCGGCAACTTCATGGAATATATTAACATAATATTTTTCTTTTTTCTTTTTAATTTCTTTTTACTCTTATTTTTTCTCTCCCTAGGCCCCATTGTAGGTCGATGACCTGTGTCTGGGTGGGCTATTCCCCGTAAAAAAACAAAACAAAAAACACACAACAGAGACAGTAACAATAATGATCAAACCACAACACCAAAAACACGAGAATATGATGTGTTTTTTCTACATTGATGTCACATTCCAGGATGACCATGACGGTACTTCACTTCACAAAATTACCCGGAATTATTCGACGATTTCTAGACGTCCTTGTTTATATCTGTGGCGACGTAGGAACACTTTTACTTCCTGATTTACATTATTTTTGTTCACATTGTCTCTCGTGTTACTGTAGAATATGTCAGCTTGATCTCGCTAACTTTGTTACTGTAGAATATGTCAGATTGATCTCGTTCTTTTGCGTTACTGTAGAATATGTCAGCTTGATCTCGCTAACTTTGTTAATGTAGA